GTATTAGTAGCAGTAGTTGTAATTGGAGTAGCGTGATTAATGTAGTAGTAGTAGTAGTAGTAGTAGTAGTAGAAGTAGTAGTATTAGTAGTAGTATTGTTTTGTGGTGGTAGTAGTAGTAGTAGTACTAGTAGCAGTAGTAGTAGTAGTAGTAGTAGTAGTAGTAGTAGTAGTAGCAGTAGTAGTATTTGCAGCAGCAGCAGCAGCAGCGAAATTAGTAATGACTGCTAAATGATGGCGGTATTAGTATTTTTGTTAGCAGTGGAAGTAGTAGTAGAAATGGAACTGGTATTTATAGTAGTAGTAATTTATGTAGAGGTGCTAATATTATGTGTAATAACATCTGCATAAATAACATCAGAATTGTTAGTGGTAGAAGTAGTAGTAGATGCTGAAAATCGGTAACACTTTTCGTAGTTCTTGCATTCATAGAAGTGAAATATGTCGTAGTAAAATTATTAATAATATTAGCAGAATTAGTTTGATTAGTACCAGTTGTTGTATTAAGAGAAGTTGCAGCAGTAGTAGTAACAGTAGAAGTAGTAGTTTTATTGGTTTTAATAACAACAGCAATGGCATTAGAATGAGTAGAACTAATAATGTTGTAATCATCATGATCGATATCAGTAGTATTGTTTGTATTTGCGGTAGAATTATTAGTGCAGTTGTTATAGAAGTAGAAGTACTATTACGGCTAGCGATATTGGTAACATTGGCAGAAGTATCAGCGGCTGTAATTGCGTTGTTAGTAGTATTAGTAGTAGTTAAAGTAAAACGGTAGTAGAAGTATTGTTAATAGAATTAGAATTGTTAGTAGTAGTAGCAGTAGTAGTAGTAGTAGTAGTAGTAGTAGTAGTAGTAGTAGTAGTAGTAGTAGTAGTAGTAGTAGTAGTAGTAGTAGTAGTAGTAGTAGTAGTAGTAGTAGTAGTAGTAGTAGTAGTAGTAGTAGTAGAATGTGTAAGATTAGCATCAGCATTGGAATTGGTAGAAGTGGTTGAATTATAGTCAGTGGTTCTGGAATCAATAGCAGTATTATACTAAGGCTTTCCTATTTTGTGGAAGGATTACCGTGGCAAAATATAAATTTCCGGAGAAGGAGGAAATGTTCAGGTCATAAGGCGACTGTGCAAGTGACGCTCTGATCTAAAGAAGGCAACCACCGCCGCGTCTTTCGGCACGATCCTGGCGGTATAACCTGAGTGCTGAATCTGAAATTAGAGACTGAGCCCAAGATTCAGTAATGCACAATACCTCTGGGCCAAACTCAACAGCCACACTTCTCAGTTGTGCCATCTTTTGCACGGCTGATCTTCCGTTGAGAGAGACAATACTGAGCGTATCCCTAAAATGTAGGTTCCGCTCATCGCTACTTATAAAAAAGGGGGAGCTGATGATGGAAAATTAAGCTGTTGGGACGAAGCAATTGGAGGAAGACAAAGTTACTGTTGTCGAAAATTTGTGGGGTAATTACCACTAACCAGAGATGCAGCATTGGATGGAAAAATATTTGAGGAGGACCCTGGAAGGGGAAAGCTATTTGGTTGGGTTGGAAAAAAAAGGAGGCATACACGTAGGACTTTGTGAATTTCGAGCATGATGTGAGGGGTAGTTTATGTTAGGTAGCGGATGTAATGGTTTCGAGAAATAGTGTACATCAGGAAAAGGCTTTATTATTTGGGGTGCCAAGCTATCAATGGAATTGAAAAAATATGAACAACGCTATATACTTGCATTTTGCAGGCTGGTGTGTAAGTGGGCATAGCAACTGATGCGTTTACATTAAGCTGAGAATTCGCGATAGCAGCAGGTAAAGATCTTCCTGAACTATCATCTAGCTTATTTAACTTAACCGCAAGGTCCGACCTCCGTGACCAAGCGCGGGAACGGGATGGTTTCGATCTGGGTTTAGTAACTAGTTTATTATTCTGAGTGCTAGGGGTCGGTTGTGCTTCTATGATTGGCTCATCTTTACTGTTAAGATCAAGCTCCCTAGAAAATTTTGGAGCCATATTTGAGCAATCCTTGCTTCTTGGGGGAGTTTTAAAGAGGCTGGTTTCAAATGACTCAGTGAAAATGTGCTCAGTTGAAGAACTAGATTGAACTGGGGCTGCTGCGGATAGGGGGAGCGATTAGGTAAACGCCTGATGGAGAATCAGCTTCAGAGGCAAACGTCAGATGATTAAAATTTTAGGGGGGCTTTACGTTTGTTAATGAGGGAGAAACTCTTCGTTGCAGTGGGGTTTGATCTCGACAAATAAAAAGTTTATTTACCCTGCTGCACTTCATCCAAATGAAAGACAGAAACCATTTTCGAAGTCACTTTTTGCTTTGATAAAGCCTGTCTCGGAAGTCCACTTATTCAATAACAGTGTGGATTACTTTCCAGATTTTATATCCGGTATGTCCGCGGTAGTGTAAGCGTTGTTACCAAGGGGCTATCTCAAACAAAAATCAACCATCAGAAGCCTGATTCTGTTTTTCCTAAGTTTCCAAACCCACAAAAAGTAGAAAAGAGGACCGACGAACAAAGCATTCTTTCCCCTCTGTAGCCTCAGAATCAAACCCCTCCCCATCACAAACCATACATGTATCCAACTGATTTACAGACTATACTCGACTTACCATCTCCTACTCGCATACGTTGACAAAATTTATTATCATCGTCATTCTGCACCACTCTGGTGTGCCAGCCACCATCACCGCTGACCTCGAGAACCAAACTCAATTCAACCCCCTTCGTGAACGTACCAGACTGTTCACGCAGCACCACAAAGCATATCGTCCTCCTTCCAACGACCCTCTCGCACATCTGCTTCGACATCTCAAGACAGCATGAATGTCTCATCCACATTCAGCCTCTTGGAGTGACGAGCCCACATTTGCGCTTTCAGACAACCTATTATCTGTCATCAAAGAGCTGCTATGTATGTCAGCCGTACACGTCGACAGCGCACCAATCCTAATGTCCCGGCAATCTGAAGATTCTCCCACATAGACGACATCATCAAGAATATTTGACTGCAACGACTGAAAGCACGTATGACTCAACTGCCCAATCCCCTGCTATTCCAGCATTCAAATCTGTGTTTGAGCACCGGGACCACAAATACATTCATTTTTATCGTTCGGCATTGCGCAGTATGTAAACGTCTGCTTTTCCTCCACGAAGGTCCATTGGAGGTGCACCAAAGGATAAAGGGATATTATATTGTTCAAACTGCTGACAGGGTGGACACCGTCTCAGTTGACACCAGAGAGCACCTTCAATGCAGAATCAACATCGTCTTGAATGACAAATACAACAATAAGATAACCTGCTTTGAATGCATACCGTCGCCAGTTGTGCAACCCAAATCCTCTAGGGTGTCGTCACCGGAGTTATCTATTTCATTCGTCCATCCAACTGTCAAACACAACAATCCCAACCAGCCTCGCCGACTCGTCTGGCCCACGGCCATCGCAGACCCCGTCTCGTCCAGGTAGACGTATTCAATGCCCAATAAAAATTATGACAATTAGTCATGTGACTTGCTGCATTTTATTGATCATTTTGCACAGAAAATGCCAATGGCAAACGCCGTCAAGGACTTTTCGCATTTCCTACTTGCGTTTTCTAATTCATTCAATGGCTGGACATGTCTACAATCTTGTTTTACTACACACGACAGCTACAGCAACAGAAACGACGCGCGTGTTCCCATTTGCGTACGACTTTCCGTTGCGGCTTGACGCAGCAGAGATTGGCTATAAAAACAACCTGCGGCCGGTTTTTAGGATGGCGTGACCTTCACGCAACCCGGAAAGACGAAAACGTAAGCAATCAAAAATACTAAAGGTCAGATGTAGGTAATTCAAGCAAAATCAAACCAAAATAGAAAAGAAATTTAAAAATGAAAATACAGCGGCAGTGCAGGGCAAATTAACATAGCTAAAGCAGAAATTACAGTAAAAGTTCGTCAGCAGACTTAAAAAGAATAATAGCGGAAAAGCATCAATATCAATATTGACACAATAAGCGAACATTGGGAATTCTGTATGTGCTAGGGAGCTGTGAGTGCTCAATTCCCATAAATGGCACTACCGGCTTCTGTTGACCAGAAATCTACACAGCAGAACTTATCTGCCGTTCGTGAGACACAGTGTGCTCAAAATCGCGAAACGTCGCCTAACTGCCTTCTGTGATACAGTTACATGAAAAGCAGGCATTGCGAGTGTGTTCGTATGCAGAAGGATCTTAACACCGCGGATAATCCCAATAACGGCTTCTGTAACATAGAAGTCATCACAGCAAGCATTCGTGGAGTGTTCTTCAGTTGGACATTGTCGAAATCCCAACCAAGGACATTATGGCACTGCTGACGCTGTAGTCAGCGTAGCAGGTCTCCCTTGCGTGTACCTGAGCTGAACGCAACAAATGTTGTGGTAAATGGCATTCCAGACTGCGGGGAGTAAAACACAATGTGGTCATTCTGGTTGACATCGTAAGTAAAAGGCGTCCTACGCGGCGTCCAAATCACTGATAGATTCATGTGCTACACCGCCGTTCGAGAAGACATTTTGGGTGTGAATAGGCGTCGAACAAGCTAAAATTCAAGACAAATGGCACTAGGGGCTTCTGTGACACAGCAGATAGGCTAGCGAGCAATCAACGTGTATTAGAGGGGTGAGGTAGTTAAAACACACGATCAAAGGTACCACAGACTTCAGTAAACCCACAGACACCCTAGAATACATTCAGTGAGAGCTGGTGAGCTGAGCGCGTTCGATTACCCGACCAATGGTACTACATCCAGTAGTGACCCAACAGACAGTCTGGCTTGCACTCAGTGCGAGTTGGTGAGCTAAGTATGGTCAACCACCAGACCAGTGGTACTACAGCCAACAGTGACCCAACAGAGAGTCTGGCTTGCACTCAGTGCGACATGGTGAGCTGAGCGTTGTCGACCAACCGACAAGTGGAACCACTGTGCTCAGAGACCCCACAGACAGTCTGGCAGGCATTCAGTGATTGTCGGTGAGCTGCGGTATTTCAACCAACCTACAAGTGGTATAACAGCCAGTAGTGAAACAACAGACTGTCTGGCTTCCACTCAGTTCGAATTGGTGGGCTAGGCATCGTTATCCACCCGACGAGTGGACCCACTGTGCTCAGAGACCCCACAGACAGTCTGACAGGCATTCAGTTCTAGTCGGTGAGCTGAGCGTTTTCAACTATCCGAGCCCAACAGTCATTCTGGCATACATTACGTGCTAGTTTGCGAGTTGAGATTGTTCAACCACCCGACCAGTGGTATTACAGCCAGCAGTGACATAACAGTCGTCTGGCATGCATTCAGGTCTAGTTGATGGGCTGAGTGTGGTCAACCAAACGACCAGTGGTATTACAGACATAAGTGGCCCAACAGTTAGTCTGGCATACACTCATAGCGAGTTGGTGAGCTGAGCTTGTTCAACCACCCGACCAGTGGTACTACAGCCAGTAGCGTTCCAACAGTCTGTCTGGCATGCATTCAGTGCTTTTCGGTGAGCTAATCTTGTTCAACCACCCGACCAGTGGTACTACAGCCAGCAGTGACCCAACAGACTGTCTGGTTTGCACTCAGTGCGAGTAGGTGAGCTAAGCATGGTTAAACGCCCTGCCAGTGTTACCACAGTGTTGAGAGACCCCGCAGACAGCCTGGCTTGCACTCAGTGCGCGTTAGTGAGCTAAGCATGGTCAACCATCCGACTAGTGGTACTACAGCCAGCAGTGGCCCAACTGTCTCTCTGGCATACATTACGTGCTAGTTGGTGAGTTGAGCGTGCTCAACCATCCGACCAGTTGAACTACAGCCGGCAGTGACCCAACAGACAGTCTGGCAGGCATTCAGAGCGACCTGGTGAACTCAGCGTGTTCGATCACCCGACCAGTGGTACTAAGGCCAGCAGTGGCCCAACAGACAGTCTGGCATGCATTCAGTGCGACCTGGTGAGCTGAGCGTGGTCAACCACCCGACCAGTGTTACTACAGCCAGCAGTGACACAACATACCGTCTGAGAGGCATTCAGTCCTAGTTGGTGAGCTGAGCGTGTTCAACCACCCGAGCAGTGGTATTACAGACAGAAGTGGCCCAACAGTCAGAACAACCAGCTGGCCTTCCTGGATGTACGCGTATGCCGCAAACATTGTGGTGGCCTAAAGACCAAAGTGTTAAGGAGAACGACAAGTAGGATGCAAGTACTGAACTTCAACACTAACCACCGAATCAGCTACAAACTCAGTTGTGTAAGGACGCTCTATAGGCGTGTCGAAAGGCACTGCAGTGAGCCGGAAGGCAAGATTGCCGAACTAGAATACCTCCAACGGGTCTTCAAAGTCAATGGCTACCCGCGCAAATTCGTCAACCGGTGCATACGCAAAAGGGACTAAAGGCCTAACCTCCCGGGCACCAAAGTTTGGCGAGTGCTTCCATATGTCAAGAACGTTTCGGAAGTTGTCGGCAGCCTTCTCGCGCCACTTGGGGTCGAGTTGCACACAGACCGGAAGCAACCATCAGGCGTCAGGTAATGAAGCCGAAAGACCCACTGCCACGGCAAGAAACGTCTGCAGTCGTTTATCGAATCTGATGCAGTTGCGTACAAAGCTTGAGCCATGCTTCACTGGTCCTCAGTCGACTAACAAGTGCAACGACCTTCCCCTTCCGTACACGTGATGAAATTGCAGCAATTAACGACACAAATGTCGTCCATTAAACGGTCAGCACACCAAGTGCAATGATCTCTGATGAAGGGGGAGAGCCGTGAATATTCATAGGTATGCGGTGGCATGGCGAATGCATCCTACAAATACTACAGCCCCTGTGCACGGACCACCTGTATCGGCCTTCGTCTCTGATGATTGGTCCGAGCGGAAATGCGAAACGTCAGACAAAAAAAGCTCTTGTCCCAACGATCGTGTCTCCTTTTTCACAACTGCTTCCTGCGGCTCGTCTCTTCGCTTCTATTGACTAAGTTCTCATTCCAGAAGGCATTCTGGGTGTGTTACTGACTTGAACGTTGCTTAGCGCCGCGACAAATGGCAATACTTACTGAAACGTCCGACAAGGTCGGTGTACATGCTGCATAACCATATCGGTAACCGGACGTTGGAGGTCTTGCGTACGCTCAGCTCACTTACTCGCACTGAATGCTTGCTAGACTGTCTGCTGGGTCACTGAGCACAGTGGTACCACTGGTCGGGAGGTTGAACACACTCAGCTCACCAACTCGCACTGAATGCTTGCTAGACTGTCTGCTGGGTCACTGAGCACAGTGGTACCACTGGTCGGGAGGTTGAACACACTCAGCTCACCAACCCGCACTGAATGCATGCCAGACTGTCTGTTGGGTCCCTGCAGGCTGTGGTACCTCTGCTCCGGTGGTCGAACACACTCAGCTCACCAACTCGCACTGAATGATTGCTAGACAGTCTGTTGGGTCACGGCTGGCTGTGGTACCACTGATCGGGTGGTTGAACAGGCTTAACTCACTAACTCCCACCGAATACTTGCTAGACTGTCTGTTGGGTCACGGAAGACAGTGGTTGCCTTGGTCGGGGGGTTTAGCACGTCCAGATAACTAACTCTCACTAAATGCCTGCAGCAATCAGAAACGTCCGACAAGAGCTTTATTCAAATAAAGCTCTTGTCTCAGCGATCGTGTATACCTTTTCATGATTACTGAGACGCAGAGGCCAGTAGTGCAATTAGACGTGCGGTTGAGCACGTTCAGATCAGCAATAAACCGCGAGGGCCCGCTATTTTGACCACATCCGTACAGAACGGAATTCAATTGGTCGTCGGTCGAGCATGTTAAGGTCACGAAAACACACAGAATGCCCGATATACTGACCCCTGTTACACAGACGCCAGTAGAACCCTTGGTGGCAGGGATCAGTAATCACAACTTCTGTAAAAATATGTCTTCACGCTCGTATTTCTGAGGCACCCTTGTAAATAAAAACCGTCCGTATTTCCTTCGTGACAGGGTCCATAAGTTCCATAAATTTCTGAACGACCCATTCCACGTTTTCGGCTGCCACACCACGGAATGTTTTCCTGGTCAGACAAACTGCCCGATCCAAACGTAGATCCACTAGGGGGGTTAACAGCAGTGTAATCTGGACCACGTCTGGCTGTAAACGGCCTTATTGTCGGCGGCTTCACACGTGGTCGACCCCGGACGTGGAAGTTAGGGGGCGGCCTGTCATTGTGTAGCAATAAAACGGGCTACTGATGCCCGGCCCATGAGTGTGCGCACAAAATGACGCCCTCCCGCCTCCTAACACATCGCGCAACCACGCCCACGTCCTCTTCGTCTTCGTTCGCCTCCACGGTATAAGGCAACGACTGGTCGGGGGAATCAGAAGTCCCGCCGTTTGCGATTTCGTCGGCGAAAGCGTCCAATTTACGAAGCAGTCCACTAAAGCGCCTTCGGCCACATCTCTTTAGTTTCTCGAGAATGGGTTCTATGCGCTTCATCGCTTCGTGGTACTTGTATGCCTCAGTGAATGGAGGCAGCTTGTACTTCAGAACGACCTATTCAATGTTATCGGACGTTTCCCCGTATATGAATGCGTAGAACACCGAGTGCTAGGCTGACTACCAAGTCAAGGAAGCCAGCAGCGCCTTTTCTAGCCAATCTTGGCGACCGATGTAGTTCAATTGGAATCCCTTGTAAGGAAATCCTTAGTCGCTTACGAGTCCTAATATGACAGAAACGGTACTTTGGGGTTTAGCTTGACATTACCGACAGCTCCCCCCCCCCTTCCGTCTATACTAGTAGGTCACGTATGACTGCCTGCGATGACTACAGGGTGAATGCAGATCAAGCATGAATAGGCATAAGTACGTTTCTTTACAAAGATAAAAAGCAGATGTGTAAAATAAAACGGTGATCCGCTCAAAAGCGGGTGTTTGAGGAGCCATTTGGAGAAACTCGTGTTTTTGAGTATGTGGATTGAGCGGGAAGCACACCGTCGCACAAGCATCCACAAAGGCGTCCGCTGAACGGAGATAAAAGCGACCCTTCGTCTGGTTAAGACGTTCCTCCTCTGGGTGATCTGAAGTATGGTTAGTTAGAAAAGGTATCGTTTCTGCTGCGCTGTTGGTAGGATTAAACTAACCTGTTTATAATTAGACGCTCCTTCCCTGCGAACATACGGTCCCGCCTTGTGACTGTGGCCAACGTGACAAGCTACCCTGATCCTTTTTTCAACTTGAGGAGCGGCATGTCGAAACGTAATTAGAATTCACAAGGCGTATCCTTACCTGTGGTTGCATATTTTGGCACCACGTGATGATGGAAGCTCAACATCGTAGATTTGTTATTTGGGCATAAATTGCATTCTTCTCTACCGTTGTTATGACGTCAGTTTCTCACTTTCACAAGCGGTCTGTTGAAGGTTGCGTCTGTGCGGAACACATTCAACTTTACCTCACTCCACTTACCAATGACTGTGCCGTCGTCTATTTACGCCGACGTTCGCTCAGATGCCTCTGGTTGTTGCTTTGCCGTGCCATACATTTCAAAGTAGGAAATCAGGGTCATGCTACCAAGGAACTACGTTCGACAAGCAAAGAATATAGCACTGGAGACATTTGCATACTTATCACAGCCATGTTAGCGCCTTTCGGCTTGGCAAGCGCATTGCCTGCTATCACAATAACTATCACAGACGACTGATTGACTGACTACGGACGGTTTTCTGATCAGACAAACTGCCCGACAGTCGCTGTCTTCTGTTCCTTAGGGCTAGAGGTGTATCAGACATCGATCGACTAGGCTGGTTAACAGCAGTGTAATCTGAACCACGTCTGGCTGTAAACGGCCTTATTGTCGGCGGTTTCACACGTGGTCGACCCCGGACGTGGAAGTTGGGGAGCAACCTGTCATTGTGCAGCACTAAAAAGGGCTGCTGATGCCCAGCCCCTGAATGTGCGCACAAAATGTCGCCCTCCCGCCTCATAAAACATCGCGCAACCATTTGACCCTCACCGACCGCCCGCGTTCGCCTCCACGGGATAAGGCGGCAATTGGTCGGGGGAATCAGAAGTCCCGCCGTTTACGATTTCGTCTGCGAAAGCGTCCAACTTACGAAGGAGTTTACTGAAGCGCCTTCGGCCGCTTCTCTTGAGTTTCTCGAGAATGGGTTCTATGCGCTTCATCGCTTCGCGGTACTTGTATGCCTCAGTGAATGGAGGCAGCTTGTTCTTTAGAACGACGTCCGAGAGGAAACTCGTGGTTGGTTGCTGGTCAGGATACCCGCTGAAACTGGCCACTTCTACCACTTCCTTCGCGGTTAGCCATCTGCAGTTTGTCAGGGCGAGCTGAGGATCAGCTGCTTTGGAGGCTATACAGTTGACTATGTGGACACATGGTAGTTCCCAGCTCGAAAAGAACCGACATCTACACGTTTCCACCCACTCACTGCTAGTCTCTACCCCTCCGTTTGCATCAAGATGTCTAAGAAAAACATCCGATGCAGCGTTCGCAGCCATAGTAAGCATTAACAATCTTAATCTGCTTAATGAAAGCTCTTGCTGGAGCGTCACAGATGACGGAAGCCAGACGGAAACGCAGAGTTCTGTCACCCGCATCGAGCAGCAAACCGTCTTCCTCCAACGATAATAAATCGTCGACAAGCGGTTTGCAGAACGCCTGCACGTCCGAAGGCTTACCAGCTCCACAGTATATGCCTACAGTGAAGACCTTACTTAATATTGGCTTCCTAATTCTACCTAAAATAGGCCAAAATTCACGCTTCGTCTTCCCATGGATTGGAAGACCATCTATTGCTAGGCTTACAACTACTTCTTCTACCGAAGGGGGCAGAGCTAGATTACGCAACTGCGCGTTGACCTGAGTGGCAAGACCCAAATGCATGTACTCACCGCTGACCATTGCCGTGCGCGGTGCAGAGAAGTATGTCGCGCCCAACAGCGTTCGTGCGTCAGCAGGTAGGTCCGGCAACCACGGTTTCAAAGCCTTCCGCAGATCGTTCAAGTGAGACTGCGGAACTTTCGACCGTAAAGCCCACTTTCGCAAACTTTCACGAGGGCTTGAATCTTCCTCCTCTACTTCTGCCGTTGAACCAACTTCTTCGTCCGTAGACACACCCGTACCCTCCGAGGAAGAAGAGCATTCGTTCGCCAGCGAAGTTGAGGACATAGAATCGTCTGTGTCGCTTTCCGACCAACTACCGGATGATGTGTCCGACGACGGCATTTCACCCGCCTCTTCGTATTATTTCTTCAGCTACTCTAAGTGCTTGGCGCCGTATTTTACGCCTATTAACAGGAGTAAATATAACTGTGAGAAAAGGGGACAACGGAGAACACAAAGACAAGTGAAACAAGGCAAAGACAGGCGGTGGCAGCGTTGACCGAGACACGGCGTGCGCAGTGCAGCGTGAGAAAGCAAAAAGTGGCACCGGCGAAGGCGGGAGGACTATCGGCCGCCGAGACCAATCGATAATCAAGTGCAAGTATGCGCGGCCGCTTGCGCGCTTCGCGTCGCCGGCGCACCCGACCCAGGAACCAATCAAATCACGAGCAGGCTGAAGACCCACTATCCCCCTAGAGTACGTTAGCTCGCGGCGAGCTCGCTTGGCTATTAGGGTATTTCTTTGAAATTCTTGTCGATAAAAACCGTCCGTATTTCCTTGGTAGCAGGGCCCATCAGTTCCTTAAATTTACGAACGACCCATTCGATGTTTTCGGCCGTTTCTCCGTATATGAAGGAGTAGAACACCGACTGCGCATGACCATGCTTGTCAGTGATGACTATGCGGTATAACACAAAACCGTGGCGGTTAGTGCGATACGTGCCGTCCATCTGCACCATCTTTGCATACTGAGCGAACACGGCTTTCAGTGCTGGCGTTGTGAAGCAGACAGCCTGGAGGCCTTTTTCCCCGTAGAGGAAATCAGGGTACCATCCTCCCTTCATTTGATAGAGGGCGTCAGTCATCCCCATCACCTTTGGGTCAGATTTAAAGACGCGCCTTTGCATGTTTGCAAGGTCCTTCATTTTGTAGTTTATCCCAAACGAACCTACAGAACTGATTTTAAAGAGAATGCTTACTACCTAAATAAACCTTCAACCGACCGATGGAAGGCCTTATTTGGGAAATCCTTTTGAGAAGTCCTTGGCCGACTTCGCCTTCAAGGCGGCGGAATCTTGGGTATGCAAACACCAACGTACGGTTACAGATGTGGTTATGCATCATGTACACCGACCTGACGTGGAGTTCGCCACAAAATCTCACCGCGGTGAATCTTGCCGGGCAGCGAAACCGCATTGATCTGACACATTGGCATTTAACTAGAAAAAATGTACTTTGTTCTCCGACTTGAATTTCCCTAACTACGCCTCCCTCCATGGATGCAGGCGAAATAGACGTACGCATATTTTAATGTGCTAAATTCAGGATGGTCCAAAGGCAGCCTGCTGCTGTGGGAGATTCTGAAACTACAACTGGCTTCCTGAAATTCTCAAGTGGGTGATTACACTTTAACATACCTTTTCGTACTCTCTTATCTTGGAAATCATATCAGCGTAGCTACCAAATATGCCGTTTTGCATCAGTCTCTTGAACTGCGCACGCAGAACCAGTGTTTGCTCTCGTGCTATAACAGACATGTAAGGAAGTCGTCAAACCGACTTTTTGGGGACGATGGACTCAGCGTGCGAAAATCCTGCAAAGCGTGCCCTTTGAAAATTTCTGTCGTGTCAATGTTTTCGGGCGGCACAGATTCGTGGTTGTGGTCCATCTTGAAAGACGTTACCGTGATTCCCTCCTTCCTTCCGTGTACGACATTGAAAAACGCGTCGCATCCAACACGGCTAGTAACATGTATATTAAATACAGTCATTGTCACACTTCGTCGTCGGAGCCATAATGCAGACACACTTCCGGCTGACATACACAAACTTCTCGGCATGAATAGATCGCAAAGGGTGTATGTGAGAATTTCTTGCCTTGTAGAAAAAGCCGGTTGCCTAAACAATATACCCATATTGGTCTTTCCTAATCGGCTAAACTACTTAATCGACAAAATTTATTTTTATTATTATTATCATCATCATCATCATCATCATCATCATCATTCCGCACCAGCGAATTTCTACATCTGGTGTGTCAGCCACCATCACCGCTGACCTCGAGAACCAAACTCAATTCAACCCCCTTCGTGAACGTACCAGACTGTTCACGCAGCACCACAAAGCATATCGTCCTCCTTCCAACGGCCCTCTCGCACATCTGCTTCGACATCTCAAGACAGCATGAATGTCTCATCCACATTCAGCCTCTTGGAGTGACGAGCCCACATTTGCGCTTTCAGACATCCTATTATCTGTCAGCAAAGAGCTGCTATGTATGTCAGCCGTACACGTCGACAGCGCACCAATCCTAATGTCCCGGCAATCTGAAGATTCTCCTACATAGACGACACCATCTAGAATATTTGACTGCAACGACCGAAAGCACGTATGACTCAACTGCCCAAACTCCTGCTTTTCCAGCATTCAAATCTGTGTTTGAGCACCGGGACCACAAATACATTCATTTTTATCGTTCGGCATTGCGCAGTATGTAAACGTCTGCTTTTCCTCCACGAAGGTCCATTGGAGGTGCACCAAAGGATAAAGGGATATTTTGTTGTTCAAACTGCTGACAGGGTGGACACCGTCTCAGTTGACACCAGAGAGCACCTTCAATGCAGAATCAACATCGTCTTGAATGACAAATACAACAATAAGATAACCTGCTTTGAATGCATACCGTCGCCAGTTGTGCAACCCAAATCCTCTAGGGTGTCGTCACCGGAGTTATCTACTTCATTCGTACATCCAACTGTCAAACAGAACAATCCCACCCAATCACGTCGACTCGTCTGGCCCACCGCCACCGCAGACCCCGTCTCATCTAGGTAGACGTATTCAATGCCCGATAAAAATTATGACTATTACTCATGTGACTTGCCGCATTTTATTGGTCGTTTTGCACAGAAGATGTCAATGGCAAAAGCCGTCGAGCACTTTTCGCATTTCCTGCTTCCGTTTTCTAATTCATTCAATGACTGGACATGTCTGCAGTCTTGTTTCAATACACACGACACCTACAGCAACAGATACGATGCGCGCGTTCCCATTTGGGTACGACTTTCCGTTGGGGCTTGACACAGCACATTTCCGTGGAAGTCGTCGTCAAACCGACTTTTGGGGACGATGGACTCAACGTGCGAAAAGCCTGCAAAGCATGCTCTTTGAAAATTTCTGTCGTGTCAATGTTTTTGGGCTGCACGGAGTCGTGGTTGCGGTCCATATTGAAGGACGTTACCGTGATTCACTCGAGTGAAGGTAGGATCCTTCCTTCTGTGTACGACATTGAAAAACGCGTCGCATCCAACACGGCTATAAACGTATATATTAAATGCAGTCATTAATTGCCATGCTTCGTCATTGGAGCCATTATGCACGCATACTTCCTGCTGACATTCAGAAACTTCTCGGTATGAATAGATCCCAAGGGGTGTTTGTGGGAACTTCTCGTTTTGTAGTGATTGCCGGTCACAAAAAAAATATACCCATATTAATTTTTCTTACTTGGCTAAACTCCTTAATTGCGTCTTCCGGATCTCTCAGCGATTGGAAAAACCAACCGAGCAAAGTGTCGCGGAACTTCAAACAGCGACAGAAACGGACGCCATTTTAGTTCTCGCGCAGGTGTTTGAAACCTGCGCTACACCATCTTTTACATTCCTCTGTCAACCAATCTTTCTTCAGTGCTCTGAAACCCATCCGCATACGGCGTTTCTTGATCACTGGCGTTGAACATAGCATATATCCGCGGCTAACGCTCAAAATCTACCATTGTCTGTTTCCTCACGCGCGCAAAACTTTCGTTTCCAAAACCGATTGATTTGGTAAATGACGTCACTTTCGGTGAGTCTGCAAACCGTCCTTGCTGCCTTCATACAGGAAAAGGAGCACGAATAAATCTGTTTTCTTCAGATTACTGTTCAGTTTTGTACCAGAAAAACGTGTTTCCAGCCACAGTAGTATCGTTGTTCTATGACCCGCTATGATTTCCTTTGCAGGTCTGATGGACCGTTGATCTTTTGGACGTCGTTTGCGTCCACGTTCGGGTCAGTTTAACAGCTTTGACATCTTTCAACCTCATTGATCCCTCTGTCCGTACCTGTCCATGTGCTAACATTCATTAGAAAGCAACACCTCCAAAGGTGTTTGCCTGCAGGTGTTTTGGCAACACTTGTAGCTGGTCGGTAAGAATCATCCTGCACAACCCACTGAGTTGTGGTCTTCATTAGTAGACCATGTTTTAGCATGTGGACGAGATTGGAACTTCAGTTTCTGACAGCGTTTCGTTCGGTGGTCAGCGCTGAATAAAAGAATTGAGATTAGTGCTAGGACTCTGCCTTGAGACTGACGCTAATTTTGACTGGTCATGCTTTATCAAGGACATATGCAAGGTTATTATAGACAGACGCTAGGGGTAACCTCTTTAAATGGATTCAAAGCTTCCTATTAGACCATTGTCAAACTGTCCATGTCGGTGGCCAGAAGTCGACGGAGGTTGCCGTTGAAAGCGGTGTTCCCCAAGGCTCATTTCTTGGTCCTTATTTGTTCATTATTTACGTCAACGATTGCGTGAGTGAACTGGATTGTAGAACTGGATTGTGAACTGGATGTTTGCGGATGACATTAAGCTCTGGAGCGTCATTCGAACTGCAGATGACGAAGAGCATTTGCAGGCGAACCTAAACCGACTCCAACAGTGGTCAAAGGCCTGGCTTCTGCCGTTCAACGAGAAAAAGTGCAATATTCTACGAGTCGGCAGAGCTCGCTCTCCGGACCATATGGCCTACTGCTTAAATGGTATACCACTGCAATTAGTGGACTCGCAGAAGGACTTGGGAGTATGGATTACGCCCTCGCTCAAACCCTTGCTGTACTACACGAAGATAGCCAAGTCTGCAATGTCAGTCCTCTACCTTGTCAAGCGGGCTTTCTCTGCCTTTGATGAAGACTGCTTCGCTAAAGTCTTTCGAACTTTTGTGCGTCCGCAACTAGAATTTGCTATCCAAGCTTGGCGACCCTGGACCGCGAAGGACCTCAGCATCCTTGAAAGGGTTCAAAGGCGTGCAACGAAACTTGTGGCAGGACAGGGTTCACTACCATATGCAACGCGGTTAGCTAACCTTGATCTCTTTCCCTTGAGTTACAGGCAGTTCGGGGTGACCTGACAAAAGCCTTCCGTATCATACGCGGTCAGGACTGCAGCCTCGTACCGGTGGACTTCTTCGAGTTAGCAGCCGCAACAAATCTACGAGGCCATCCATTCAAACTACGTGTGACAGGGGCCACACTGGACACACGAAAGTTCTGCTTCTCCAACAGAGTGCTAGAAGCCTGAATGCCCAGCCTGCGGATGTCGTTATGTCTGCTTCCGTCGAGGTCTTTAAGAGGAAGCTGGATTTGTGTAGCAGTGTCCACTAAACTACCACCCGATCTCTGTAACCTCGACGAATTCCGTTGTTATGAGACTACTTCCTATATTTCAGTAACATTTTTAAATTAAAGGTCTTATTGTCCCAAACCAACGCCTAAGCTTACTGACATGCACATATGAAACTTTTGTCTCCGGATATATTATTTATTTCGCTGTACACGAAACGACCGCTCTACAACTGCTCGTCCCACTAAAATTCGAGACAGTTTGTTTGTCTGTACAGACCTGAAGCTTTGCCGATTACTTGTTCCTTAATGATACCTTTTCCAGTTTTTCAGATTTTGCAGTTGCTTCTAAACAAATAGCGAGTTCACAGGTGAAGACGTACATTTCCCTCAATAAACTGAACTGAACTGAACCACCCGACCAGTGGTATTACAGCCAGAAGTGACACAATAGTCAGTCTGGCATGCATTCAGTGCTAGTTCGTGGGCTGAGCGTGCTCAACCACCCGACCAGCGGCAGTAGAGCCAGCAGTGGCCAAATAGACAATCTGGCAGGCATTCAGTGCGAGCGGTTTTATTACACACAGAAGCGGCCCAACGGTCAGTCCGGCATGCATTCATTGCGACCTGGTGAGCTGAGCGTCGTCCATCACCCGAGAAGTGCTTCTAAAGCCAGCAGTGACCCAACAGTCTGACTGGAATGCATTCAGTGCTTGTCGGTGACCTGAGATTGCTCAAACCCCGACCAGTAGTATTACAGCCAGCAGTGACATAAAAGTAAGTCTGGCATGCATTTAGATCAAGTTGGTGAGCTGAGCGGCGTAAACCACCCGACCAGTGGAATTACATACACAAGTGTCCCAATAGTCATCCTGGATTGCACTCAGTGCGAGTTGGTTGGCTAAGTGGCACTACAGACAGCAGTGACCCAACAGACAGTCTGACGGGCATTCAGTGCTTGTCGGTGAGCTGAGATTCTTCAGACACCGTACCAGTGGTATTATAACCAGCTGTGACACAACAGCCTATCTGGAATGCATTCAGTGCCAGTTGGTGTTCTGAGCTTGGTCAACCACCCGACCAGTTATACTACAGCCAGCAATGACACAACAGACATTCTGGCATGCATTCAGTGCGACCTGGTGAGCTGAGCGTTGTCAATCACCCGACCAGTGATACTAGAGCCAGCAGTGGACCAGCAGTCTGTCTGGCATGCATTCAGTGCTAGTTGCGGATCTGAGCGTGGTCAACCGCCCGGACAGTGGTACTACAGCCGGCAGTGACCCACCAG